AAACATCATAGAAAGATTATGTTTTGATATTTCGCAGTGGAATGGATATCATTAAAGTAAACATCATAGAAAGATTATGTTTTGATATTTCGCAGTGGAATGGATATCATTAAAGTAAACATCATAGAAAGATTATGTTTTGATATTTCGCAGTGGAATGGATATCATTTAAGGAAACATCATAGAAAGATTATGTTTTACATTAGATAGTTTTGCATTTATTAAATCCATGTTACTTTGAAAAAATTCACTTCTGTTTATTTTGTTATAAATAACGGGTTTTGTTGCATGAATTTATATAAAATTTTTGATAAAAAAATATTAAATGGACTGTAAGCGTAATTGCAAGTGACCCTCAATGCAATGATGGCATTGTCCGATTTACAATTGTACCTTTGAAATCTTTATTTGATCAATATTGTGGAAGATATTGTCGTTTTTCTAGCCTTAAAAATGTTAAATTCTGAACATTCAGTTATGTTTTCCTGCAATAAAATTCTGCAAGAAAACTTTTGTTAAGAAATCACAATTATAAACATTGAAATATAGTTCATACTTGATCAGACAAAGCTTTTAAGGGTACATTTGTGAATCATCTTTTCCATGGTGGGTCACTTGATATTACGCTTTAAGATGATGGTTACAGACCATTTAAAATCTCTTTTTTTTTAGGTCCAATGTGCAGCTGCATGCACCCTCACACCGCCCTGTAATGAACTAAGATTTGAGGTCATATTATGTGAAAAAAATATTTACAAATATATTTAAACTATAAACTCAGAGTCTGAGCAGAGTCTATAGATGTTGAATTTAAATTATTATTATAAATTTCGATTGAGTCTTTGCCACAAACTCTAATTTTCTGATTCCTATATTCTTTACGTCGTAGGCATTAAATATTTCAAACATGAATTCTGTTATATTAAATAATCTAAGTTGATATATCAAAGGTTTAACTTGCCAGGTTGCAAACATTAAGGGATTAGAAATTTTGAGTTTGAGGCAATGACTCAATTCCTTTTATTATTCCATGTTCTGAATATTAAGTATGCAAAATGTATATTTCTGACAAAAGATTTAGATCTGCACTGCTGACTGAATCATTTTTTAAAGGGACTGGAAAGGAAAAATGAAAGGGGGTATAGGCTGAAAGCTATTCACTTTAGCTCTTGATCACCACCCATGAAAGTTTTATCTGATGCTCCTGTCTCGAGAAATTGATATAAAACTGTGTTAAAATTATACGAAAGTTAGTATATGTAAAATTTAGAAAATCTTAAACTTAAATCATGTGACCAGAACTATCACCAATGGCAGAGCAGTATACTGGTCACGTGTCTCCGCCAGTATCACATGACCACTTTACTGCACTGCCATTGGTGGAATTTCTGGTTAAGCAATACGGACGTATCTCTGGGATAACATCGTTTTCAGATTGTTTGCTTATTTGCTGAATTTGATCTATTTAAACCCACTACTTTTATACAAAATTGTAAATATATTAATTTTCGTATAAATTTGACAAAGTTGTAAATCAGTTTCTCGAGATAGGAACATCAGATATAACTTTCATGGGTCGCGATCGAAAGCTAAAGTGAATAGATTTCAGCCTATACCCCCTTTCCTTTTTCCTTTACAGTCCCTTTAACCATTTGTTGACAAACTATTCTATTTTTCTTCCGACCCATATTTTCTGTAAAGATTACTTGCATAATATAATAACTTCATCTAATATTAAAGCTTTGAAATATGTTACTTTTCTAAACTGTTCTGGAACTTAAAATCCTTGAATGTTAATTAACGATGCTGTATTTTCGGCTCAAAATATTGATAATTTGTACAATTATTATTCAGAATGGAGTTTGTGAGTTAGGAAGAGTATTCTGCTGGGGACCTCCTGGCGAACTTATGAGTATCTACCAATCCGGACCTTGCCTTCCTAGTAAGCATTTATAATTTGCCATCTCCGGGGGCCTGTCAGCATTCATAAGATTCTATCTCCGGGTGACTATGAGCATTTATAAGTTTCTATCTATGGGTGTCTGTAAGCATTTATTAGTTTCTATCTCTGGGTGTCTGTAAGCATTTATAAGTTTCTATCTACGGCCGGGTTTCTGTAAGCATTCATAAGTTTCCATCTATGGGTGTCTGTAAGCATTTATAAGTTTCTTTCTCTGGGTGTCTGTAAGCATTTATAAGTGTCTATCTCTGGGTGTCTATAAGCATTTATAAGTTTCAATCTACGGGTGTCTGTAAGCATTCATAAGTTTCCATCTATGGGTGTCTGTAAGCATTTATAAGTTTCTATCTACGGGTGTCTGTAAGCATTTATAAGTTTCTATCTACGGGTGTCTGTAAGCATTTATTAGTTTCTATCTCTGGGTGTCTGTAAGCATTTATAAGTTTCTATCTACGGCCGTATAAGTTTCTATCTACGGGTGTCTGTAAGCATTTATTAGTTTCTATCTCTGGGTGTCTGTAAGCATTTATAAGTTTCTATCTCTGGGTGTCTGTAAGCATTTATAAGTTTCCATCTCTTACTGTCTGTATTGGAACTGTATAAGACGTAATTTCAAATGACCCTCCCTACATTTTATAGATTCCTAAATAGATTCATAATAGATTCATAATAGATTTACATATAGATTCATAATAGATTCATAAATAGATTCATAATAGATTCATAATAGATTCATAATAGATTTATAATAGATTCATAATAGATTCATAATAGATTCATAATAGATTCATATATAGATTCATAATAGATTCATAAATAGATTCATAATAGATTCATAATAGATTCATAATAGATTT